AAAAAAAAAAACAACCAGACCCCACCTCCGGGCAGGACTTACTTGGTCTGTTTGATTTGACTGGCTCCTGAAGCATCAAATACAAGGATTTGGCAAGGGATGGAACCCTTTGGTTATTGTTATATATGTTCATTTAGAGGAGTTAACTCCACTGGATCTATTTATGGGGTTGACAGGGTAACTGGGAGTCGATGAGCAAATCATGTGGTGGATGCTGCAACGTGGATGAAGAACAACTGGAGCAAGCGGAGATGGCGTGTGATTTTGCAACCCATGTTTGCTGCCACCCTTGTGCTCTTTGTCAAGAAGGGCGTGAGATTCGTCGCAGACTTCCTCATCCAGGGTTTGGAACCCAACCGATGCTGGTCATGATCCCTCCTGGGGACCAGACCATGGGTCGTCATGGAGCCTGAGTGAAATTGAACATCTGTTTTCGTATCATACTTTATGGGAGTTTTTGTTGGTATGTTTGATGATGTGTGTAAATAAGTCACCAGGAGATGGAACAATTTTCTTTTGTATTTTGTTGTGGAGAATGATTATGTTTTAAATAATGCAGTGTCAATAAAAGTCACAGTTTTTCCTTGATCTGGAGGGGTCTCCCCCCTCCCTATCAAAAATAAAAGTCACAGTTCCATGGGGGTTTGAGAGGTTTTTTATTTGAGAAAAGTCTAAAAAAACTCGACCCAACTATTATATTTTGAGTGATTAGGAAATTATTATTTTGTATAAATAAAACTTTGAACTTTTTGAAATTAAACAAATAAATCCTTCAAGTTACTAAAACTAAGAAAAATCCAACGACCTTTCATATTTTGAGCAATTAGATTCGTGCACATTTTTTTAAATGAAAAATCATTACATTTATAAAAGGTAAGCATTATATCATTTCTCAATCGATAAATCTAGATCAATAATAAAGTACGATAACCCAATAAGAAATGATTAAATACCATTCTCATTATTCATTTTTCAAGGGAATGGCCCCGACTTGTCGGAAAACCCAGTCCATCCTTAGTTGGGGATGGGGATCCCCTGCTAAACTGGGGATAGGGACGTGGATCCCTCTGTTTCAAACCGGAGATGGGAACGGCGACGGGTATTGCACCCCCGCCCCGTACCCGTTATATATATATATATATATATATATATATATATATAAATTAAATGTATATTTTTTATTTAAACTAAATTGGTAATTCATAATTTCTTATTTTCTAACTAGGTTTAGAATTTAAAATTGTTCATGTGTGATGTCTCACTCAAAATACGAGAGTTCATTGAGTTTTTTTAAACTTTTTATTTTTATTTTTTATAGATGAGTATATTTTCATGCACATTTGAATCATGATGCAAAATTCTCTCATGGGAAATTGGCATCAAAAGCTCACACACACTTGTTTTGCTAACTTAACCAGCTCCCTAACCGGACAATAGATGATGGTGATCATTAAAGCAAATACCGGTTATGTCATTAGTAGATTGATAATTTTAAGAGGTCAAGATGCAACGGCTGTGAGAGATTGAGAGATATAAGTTTAAGAGGTATTAAGTGAAAAAATTATCACTTAAAATTTCAGAGGAAACACAAAGGTATAATAAGCTCTTATTTGAAAAAAAAAAAAACAAATGCTCTTAATACCAAAAACGTCTGACCGAATCAGACTTCAGAGGTATTAAGAACTTAATACCCAAAAAAACAAACGGACCCTTAGTTTTATCCCATCTTAATAAGTGGAACAAAAAAACCTTTTTTATCTCACCCTGTCACAGTACTAACGTGTCAAACGTCTGTCTAACAGTGAGTTTTTTGTCCTTACCAAAACGTTGCACCGAACATGAAACAATGATCTTTGTCATGTCTTGTCCGGTGGCATCCACCAAATGCAGCATTAGAGACCAACAAGTAGGTTTTTGAAGGCTCGTGCTCGTATCTTTGCAAAAAAGCACATGTAAATACGATTTATATCTGTATATCGTCAAGTTTTCAGTTGATTTAGTCATAGCCATCCTTACCAAATATTATAAACATTAACTATGGTTCAACTTAGATTAAAAAAAGAACCTTTTGCCATCACATTGGACTTCCCCAACTTAGGTTCACAACCTGCTCACAAGATAACCAATGTCAATGTTGAAAGAAAATAGCCGGATGCAACACGAACTAAGGTGATTGATTATTACCATGGTTCACGGACCCTTGGCTAGAAACACAATGATGGGTCTCGTCTAAAACTATCCAACTTCACCATTACATAATAAAAAGAAACAAAACTAACAAGCATCTCACAACACGAATCTTACGTACTGGACAGTAACCACATATTTATGATCTATTCTCCTGGTACTGCAACACCTTGCTTCAGTTTCTCCCTCTTCAACTTCTTCTTGGAGACTGGCTTCTTTTTTCTCGGAGGCAGGGTCTTCTGGGCATACATGTACAGTACATAGTTCCCAACAAGGAACGTTATCAGTAGCCCACCCACAACCAGCAAAACAATCAATCCTGGGTTGATTCCTTTGCCTTCCACATCCTTGCTTGCAAATTGCTGCTTGTATTATACATATATGAGCAATGGATCAAACGTCAAGAAAATGGTTAACAGAGAGAGAGAGAGAGAGAGAATACAGCATCAGGGGAAAAAGATTCGACTGACAACCATGAATGGAGATGTTTATTTTTTACTCTGTTGTAAAGGAAATGACAAGAAGTTGGTGTGCTAAAATATTAGGTAATTTTATTAACAAAAGAGGCAGTACACTCAATTCGACTAATTGACAAGGTGGGCTTTAATACAGAAACTAAGGAATCAAAGAGGGATGGAAGGATGCAACATGGGGCCTGTTTGTTAGCAGCTTAATGAGCTTAATGGGACTCGCTCTTATTTGGTAGTGGCTTAATGCTATAGGAAGTGGCTTATTCTGTAAGCTTCTAGGGGGGAACCTTATGCAGAAAGCCAAGATTTTTGCAAACCTGTCCCTCCCAATTAAAAAAAAGGCTTCCATCTGTGAAAAAATCCTCCCAAACAAAAACCCTCCCACTTTATATAGACAAATTAATCCACAGACAGTTTTACCTATACAGGACTTGATGGAAACCAACCAAACAGCCCCAAAGTTGGATAGGAAGAATGGGAAACGAGGTTATAATGTTTAAGGTTCAATTAGAGCTGTTGTTTGAGAAGGCTAGTTTAAAAAGTGCATGGGCACAGAACATGCCACTTGAGAATATAGCAGGAGCAGAACAAGAATGATCACAAACCCAATATTTTCTTTAATCTGCCAAACCCCCTCAGGGGATGGGTCCAAGGGAGCCTTAAATGTAAATACATAAATAAAATTTTAAAATGTTAATTTTCTTAACGAGGCAAACACAACGATAGTATATTGATGAAGTGATCAATCCAAGAATACATGTAACTACTCTGTAAGTGCGGAAACCATGTACAAGTAAGATACAGATATGCCTCTTTAAGAACATCTGACTTTCACATGTTCTCAAAACATTAGACACTAAAACCCTAAATCCAAGTTCTTAAAACATACTAAATCGTTAATCATGTATATGTGATAGAAGTGGAAAAGCATTATATTTGATAATAGTTAATCTATTAGTGGATACAGAACAAAACAATAAGTCCTACATAAAAGACCTAAAATTTCTTTTGGTGTTTAGATGATGCCAGACAGATGAATTACATTGTTGATTGGAGGTAGCAAAATAGATATAGATGCAAGAGATGCAACCAACACGAGACATGGTTGTGATAAGTCTCGTGAGACTTTGAGAGGTAATTTCAATTGAGATGAGTGGATATTGAAAACTTTGAGAGAGTGGAGAGAAGAACACAAAAAAGAAAACATGAACATCGTGACTTTATGATGAAGGCTTTCGATTGTAGTATTAAGTGGCCCCATAACATATTTTATTATCAAGTGGACCTCCAATGTCACTAATTTATAAATAAGGGACGGAGGACCTCAATATAAATATCTAGATCATATGCTATATATCTTATTGAGACTTGAGGGGAAGAGCAAGACCATCTTGGCTCCAATGTAGCTCTGTCCTCCCCCTTCACCCCCCCCCCCCCCCAAAACAAACAAAAGGAAGGGAGTACATGAAGGGATGGGAAACCAGATTTTAAACACAACCACTAAGGAGTTTGTAGCAGCAGATTCATATAGAAGCCAAGGGTCATGTAGTGTCGTAGTTATCAAAAAACAAGGTTTCTAGAGACCAAGTCATGAGTACCCAAGACTTGTAGTATTGCAGCAGTACAAGCAACTAGAAGCAACTAGCATGTTCAAAGAAAACTTTGAGAAAAATGAGCAACAAACATCTAGTTTATTGACATCATCTTTAAAAGGGCACCTACAGTGATCAACTCTCCAAAAAAACTACTTCCTATGATTAAAAAATTAGAACACTTTCTATTTTGGGTTATCCCATGAATAATGCAACGATTCCTTTCTCTTTAAAGATCTCTTTCAAATTTGTCTATATCCCCATTACAAGTAATTGTTACAATACAAGATAGATTCATTGTCATCCATAAGTTTTCTCAACTTCGTCTTACTAAAGGGGTATTTTAAATATTTGATCATCAGTGACAGTAATGGACTTATATTAAACTATGTGCTAAATCAAAACTAAGTTCTTTTCCGTGATGGAGAGAGTAAGAACTATCTTTTATGCCTCCAGGCAAAAGAATGAAAGGTTTCTTTTCCTTAAGATCAGAGAGTCCTTAACAGAAGAGTATAGCATGCTACCATTTCCAATATCCCATGTTAGGGGTGCTTTATTTTGATTACACTCTCTACCTTGCATCCCAAAAGGGGGTTTATTCAATAAAAGGATGATCTTCCTGCTAATTAGGGGACCAAATTTATCATGCTCCAAAATCAATTATATACCAGAAAGTTAAATCACAATTCACACTGAAGGCAAGGACTACTAATCAAGTCAAACTACTGAAAGCATGAACCTTTTTTAGAATCTCTGATTATGAAACTTGGCCCACTTTAGATGTACTAATCCAAACACTTTTACCCAAAGTAAGTATCAGACTCTTGCAATGAAACTTGGCCCACTTTAGATGTACTAATCCAAACACTTTTACCCAAGGTATCTTTATAATTCAAAAAAATCTGATAGACAACAACAAAAAACCTTATGACAGGGTTCACAAGTGAGGTTTGTTTCCCGATATCCTCGTATATGTTAATGAAACCTTATTGATGTGGAGAGTCTGTTCTTGATACTAGAAGGAGTAAACATAGTGGTCCCTTCCTGAATAACTTGAAAGGTAGATCTCTTCTTAGAGAAAGCTCCTTCTCTCTCTCTCACACACACACACATCCAAGCACCTCATCAGAGAAACAAGCTTGCAAGCACATTATCTTTACCTCTCTCACCCATATCTCAACCTACCTAGAAGACTAGAACAACTGATAACTTATTGTTCTGGAAAAAGAAAAGACATACAAATATACACTCAGAGCAGCACTTGACACCTATGAGCACCTGATTAATGCCATTATTTATAACTTAATTCATTCCGTTATAATGAGACTGTTATCCACTATAAGGGAGCTCAATTGAAGCTAAACAGTTGATGATGCAGAGCTAAATGAAGTATTTATTTGGAAAGACACAAACCAAGAAAACAATTATCAGGTTCCAGCTGTAATGCGGATCATGTACGTTGACGTTCTTCAACTGCTTTCAATCAACTATAGCAAATCACATTTTCTTTGCAAAATAGAACTCTTAAATTCACTTACTCACGAACATTTCCAACTAGCATTTACATTCATATACAAATTTCAAGCATAGATCACGCTTCCACGTTATCAATTAACTGAATCGCGAAGGACTACGTAACACAGAAAAATCAAATCGGACAAAAATAAACGATTGTTCTGCATGAATGTAAGTACAGATTGAGACAGGATAAGGACCGTAAATCAGAGCACGAGAAACCTAAAGATCAAATCTAACATACGCAGATCTCAATGAAGTATATACATCATTTCTGATTGTTGAAACACAGAGAACAATTACGAGATCTGAAAGAAAATAAAAGAAAAACTAACCGATCAATCGATCAAAGAAAAGAACAGAAAAGAAAAACTAACCGATTCGGAATCCATCAAACGGATTTGAGGATGGACCGAGAGAAATTGCGACTTGATAGAGATGGATCTTTGAAAGCGCGTTACGGAGAGTCCTAGGTGAGCTATATGAATATGGTGAATGTGAGCTCAACCTTGTTTGCTTTTTGACCCTCGGAATTTATATACTTCTCAAACACGCCCAAATCTTTGTTATATTATATTTTTCATACATAATGATTTATTAATTACATATCAAAATTATTAATAACAAGTGATTGATTTAAACCTATTTTTACAAATATAAATATCATATTTTATGAAAAATGATTATAAAGTGTTATTTGTTCACCTCTTAATAGTTCCAATAAAAAGCAACATCTGAATAGTTTAAAAGGATGAATCTTGTTTGACAAAAAAAATTTGTCTATTAATGATTCCAAACTACTCTGAATGGTTTTGTATCTCGGCCTATAGCATCATAATTTTCATTATGAACAATTATCAAAAAATTATATTTCGTTTTGCAATATATCATGAGAGTCTCTTAAAGCATTCTAACCACTTAATAATTGTGTACCAAATCATTCAGCAATTGTCAAATAACCCCTAAGAATGATTTTCTATAGGCATGTTAAAATGTAGCAACTAATGTATTAGAGGATGTTTAATGTGCAGACCATATAGGATAAAATGAGACAAAAATAATAACTACATGTTTAACATGACATCAGATAAGAATGAGATGGGATGAGAGGAGAACAACCGATAAAACTAGAGTTTTTTTTTGTTTTATCTAAAAAGGTGAAACAACATTCAAATTAATATTTCACCTTCATAACCTAACATAATCTAAAACTGTAACATATTTTTAATATGATTTCATTTTTTATTTAAAAAATTTATTCTCTATTTAATACATTAAACAAACGTATTTAATTTTTATTTAAAGAATTTATTATTTTTATTTAAAATGGTATTTGAAAAATTATTTTTTTTTTGTCAAAATCACATGTCATTCATAATTAATTGAATTTAAAAAAAAATCGGATCACATGTGATTTTAAACGTGAAAAACAATTATTCAAATTAAACATTGAAAAATAAAAAATAATGAATACAAAATCACATGTGATATGTAGCATAACACATTTAATATGTATAATATCACATATATTTCAAAACGTAATTCATATTTACAAATATCATATGTAATGTTGTAGATAACTTGCATTTTTTTAATTTAAATTTACTATGATCAATATCATATATTTTTTTATATTAAAATTAGCAATTCTTTTTAGGAAAAGACAGTCAATTAATTATGATATCACATGTTATTTTTGACGAAAATTATAAAAAAAATCTTAAATAAATTACTTTAATAGATAAGAATTTTAAATGGAAAACTAAATCACGTTTATTTTAAATGTCACAAAAAATATAAAAAATTAAAGGAAAAATTAATCATGCTTAAATCTCGAAAAATGTAAAAAAATCATGAATAAATACCTCAACTAAATGTATTATATAATCTTTATAGAAATAAATGAATTTTCATATATAATATATATGCAACAAATGACACATATGCGCATTTTAGACGATTTTTACGAAAGTTTTATTTAAGTTATCATTCAAATAAATGATTGACTCAAAATTATTCTCTTATTTTTTATTTAGTTATTATTCTCAAGAACGTTATCTAAATAAGAATATAAAAGAATGAATCTCAACCAATCATTTATTTGAATGATGTCTTAAATAAAACTTTCTTAAAAATGACCACAAATGCCACATGTGCCATTTGTTGCATATATATATATATA